TATGATGATTGAAAGTGACCAAAGTGTGCAGCCCACACCTCTTCTTTGCGATTTTTGTGCCCAAAATGGACATCATTCCGACATGTGTTCATATTTACAAGGAGAATGGGGAGACGTGCAAGAGAAGGGAAGCTACTATTTGTCAAACCAATCGAGTTATGATCAACCTCAACATGATCAATGGTGGGACAACAACCAAGTTTGGGGAAATAACCAATACCAAAACCCATACCAAACTTGGGGAAATAACCAATACCCACCAACTCCACTGTTCCAAGAACCCTATCCTTACCCTCCTCAACAAACTGAAACGCCAAGCATGTCCTTAGAGGACATTGTTAAAAGCATTGCCACTTCTACCCAAATTTTTCAGGAAACAACCCAAGCTAGCCTCAAAAGCTTAGAGCAACAAATAACACAAATTGCTCAATCAATTAGTTTAATGGAAGCTCAAGACAAATTACCATCCGAAAAGAGCCCATCGCATAGTGCATGTTCCATTCCTTTGAATGATGAGAAAATTTTTGATGGCCCAAGAGTGTTATATGAAGAAGAGGAAGAAGAAGTAGAAGTGGAAGAGGTTGTCAAAGAAGAAGAAGAAATTGAAAAAGCTGACAATGAAACTATAGAGGAAGTGATAGGGGTTAATGAAAGAGAGGTTGAGCCGCCCACTACCATTAAGAAACTAACTCCATTGGTAGACCAACCACAAGAGATGGAAGCGATAAATTTGTCGGACTCTTCAAAGGATACGTATCACAAAAAAGAAGACGCCCAACCGGTCACCTACTCAAAAACCATGTCAAAGAAGGAAGAGTTGGTCACCTTAATGAACAAGTACAAGAAAAAATATGGTTGGATGATTGCTATTATCAAAGGTTTGAGTCCGGTATGGTTCTCCCGTAAAAAGAAAGTCAAATACAAGAAAAGAGTCTCAATGGAGGTGTGGAAATTAAAAAATGTCGACACGGGGAAAATTTACAAGGTTAATGGACATCGATTGAAGCCATTCAATGAAGTTTTTGATTCAAATGTCCAAGATGTCGTCCATTTGGACGCCCCAAAGTGTTAAAGTGAAGTTTGGAGGCGTCTCGCCAAAGACGTTAAAGAATGGCATTTTTGGAAAGCATTGTGTTTTTGTGTTTTTAATTTGAATAAATGACTTTTGAAGATGCTTTTGGGATTCAAAAGAATTGTTTTTGAAGAAATCAAGAGTTTCTAGGTTTTTGGGGCCTTCCAAAGCGAGAACGGGTGAAAAACGAAGAAAAATGAAGCAAAAATGAAGATCAGGATCAGGGGGTTGCGCGACCCGCGTGCTGTTGCGCGGGTGGGTTGCGCGGCCAGGTGTGATGAAGCGACATTGGCCCAAGACTTAACTGCAAGGTCTGCGCGACCCGCGTGCTACACTGCGCGACCCGCGCACTGTGCTGGGCAATTTGGGCTATTTTTGGCTATTATTTGACCAGGTGTTGACCAAAGGTTTTAATGAGTTGACCTTTTGACTTTTCTTGACCAACATTGACCGAAATTGACCCTTTTTGACCCATAGATTAAAATGTTCAGCTTCTCTTCTTCTTCATTTAATCATCTTGACCTCCCACTCCATTCCTCTCATATAACCTTCCAGCACCCACCTCGCTTGAAAATTCAAGATTGGCGGAGTTCTACCGGTCGTAATTTCACGAAACCACCGCCACAGACATTTCCCGCCGCCCGACCCTCCGATTTAGGTCCTTTCCGCCCTTTCCTTAAGCATTGAGGACAATGCTTGTTCTTAAGCTTGGGGTGGGGCATTTCCCTTTTTTTTCTTACTCTTTTTCATGCATTTTTAGTTAGGTTGCATAACATATTAGTTTAAGTTAATTTGCATTCATTTTTTTTTATTTTATAAAATTTAAAAAGATTTTATTTTCTTCTTTTCTACTTTTTATTTTTGCATAACATTTAGCTTAAGACATTAGCATTCATGCATTTTTGTTGTCTGTTTATTCTCACCTCTCTTGGATGCCATGGAACAGGTTCATAGTTATTGTATCATTATTGGTCCAGGATCTTGTTGCTATCTCACCCATCGAACGGGACCACTAGCTGCAGTTTGGGATTTCATACTTGGGATCAGATGCTGGTAGCTTAAAGGGGTAAGTGATCATGGACAGGTAGTTTTCATGAAGAATTATGCATACAATACTAACAACTGTAGGATATACTATAGCAATGGGTGTTCTTAGCCTTGCGGTCACTACCGCGGAGAGGATCACACTTGATCATGTTTGAACTGTTAGGATGAAGCATTGGTGCTTGTCCCCGAGTAGAATCCATATCCGGTCTCTTTACATCACCATATCTTTTTGCGATTTTCTTAGAATTTAGAGAGTCTTTTAGTCCACATTTGGACATTTTCATTATCTTTGAAAAACCACAAGTTTGAAAAGGAGCTTACATTACATCTTTATGCTCCACACATGGTCATTTCACACTTAGGCCATTCGGATTATATCATTACCCTTTCGGTTCCACCTACACACCTTTGGGAACCAAATTTTGAGTCAAAGGGTTTTACATTAAAAAAAAAAAAAAAAAAAAAAAAAAAAAAAAAAAAAAAAAAAAAAAAAAAAAAAACAAAAAAAAACAAAATGAAGCATGCAAATTTTCAGTTGCAACTATCTTAGATAGGTGGCCGGTTCAATTATTGAACAAATTTCCCAACATCTTGGTCACCCGACGTTTGATATTCATTTGTATAGATCTGTTTTATTGTATATAGATCGAGTTGTTATTTTTTTTTCTTTCTCACAAATTGGTGATGTTAGAGAGACTGTCGAGTCGGATACTACGGGAGGTTTGGGCCAACACTAAGTGAACTGATTCCTACAACGGTGCCCGAGCGATTAAACCTAGTTACACATGAGAGAAACCGCAAATGTGAGATCAGAGTGTACACTTAAAGAAGAGCTCCACCCGAGCCCATCCAGTTGCTTTCTCCCTACTACAGATGTTCTTCATTGTATACATGTTCCATTGAGGCTGCGACTGCTCATCCCTCCTTACTCACCTAAAGGAGTTGTCCTGGCTGTGGTTTATGGTTCCATTGTCATCGGATGAAAAAGTTGTGAGATAGCAGCGAAATCAATTCTGACCATGTTGACTAACGTCGAACAGGTTCCATGGTTCTATCCATTCTTTTTATTTCTAGGGTAGTTCATCCCAAGTTCATTTAGTCTTGTCTTACTTGAGGACAAGTAAGGTTTAAGCTTGGGGTGATTTGATAGCTTCATTTTATTTACTTATTTTTATAGTTTATTTTAGTACATTTCATTCGCATTTTAGTTAACTTTCATGCATATTTTCCCTTTTGTTATTTTTATGACCATTTCGGGGTACTTTCTAGTTTCTTGAGCATTATTGCAGATTTTCTTGGAAACTAGCGGGGCGGCACTCTTGCGAGGCGATTGGGCTTGAAGGGAATTGGAGATTTCATGCTTGATGGCTATGAAGGTGATTCATGGGGTGGACTTGTCAATTGCTTGAAGGCTTGGAAGAATTGAGCTTTAAATTTGAAAGATGCGGGGGAACATTCAAGCGTATGAAAATTATTAATCGGGCGAGTTCACGAGCTTTGGAGGATTTAGAGAGGTCAAATTGGGCTTTAAATGAAGAAAAACTTGAAGAAAATGGGCTAGGAGGTGATTGGATTCGATCTGGGCTAGTGGGCTATGCTAGAGGCCCAAAACTCAAAGAGCCACAGGGACCACCCGCGCAACCCACCCGCGCAGCAGCACGCGGGTCGCGCAAGGCCCTGCAGGGGCAATTTCGGAAATTCCTTCTTTTGAGCTATTTGAGGAAGGTTGGTGCCCATCTTTTGCATACACTTGCACATCCGATTTTTGAGATTCTCTCTGGAGTTTTGGACTTTTGAAGGCCAAGAACCCTTGAAGAACATCATATTTTTACCTCTTGATTCTTGCTTAATGTTTGGTACAAATTTCTCTAACTTTGTTTCTTTGTGTTTAGCCATGCTTGGCTAAACTAATCTTGGTTGACTTTTGTTTAATCCTTTGAACTTTTGTTGAATGTTGAAGAATCCATGAACATGTTCTTGAATCTTTATGGAAATGTTTTGTGTTTTAACATCTTATCATTACTTGTATGTTTTAGTTCATGAGTTTAAATGTGTTTGTGGTGATTAGTTGGCTAATTTCTTGATTAAGTAAAGGATCCTCAAATTAGCAAGCAACAAATGATTTTTGTGTTGTTTTTACTTCACACAATCATAAAAACATTTCCTCCAACATGGTGGTGAAAGCATTTGACCCCTCTTGGATTTGGTGACTTTTTGGTTCTTAATGCTAGTTGACTTTCACTAATTACATGCTATTTGGAATTAGTGACTTTGACTAAGGAAATTGTTATGAGCTTCTCTAGCCATTTCAACAATTAAGAAAAGTCTAGGTAATCTCAAGCTCCTTGGATTACTATAGCCAAATTGAGGATTTAAAACAAGTATTGCACCATTGAATTCTAATGATATGTTCATCAAAAGTCAAAGTGAGAAAACTTTAAGTCAACCATCTTTCCCTTATTGATTTTACATCAAATTCTTATTTTTGTTGCAATTGTCTATTTAAATCATAGTTAATTCTAGTTAGCATCAAGTATTCAAAACACCAAAACCCCCCATTTTATTTTTATTGTTATTTTACAAGTATTTTTACAAAGAGATTTTTCATAGAGTTAGAAATTGAACCAATCTCCGTGGATTCGATCCCTTTACCACTATACACTATTTTAGTGTGTAACATTTAGGGTTATTATTTGTGTTGGCCTCGACAACCACCAGTGAGCAATCCAAAACTCACGATGTGAGACCCCAAATCAGCCCCTATAAATAGAAACTTAAGTGTGTCGGGTTTGGTGCTCATCTCTTTCCATCTAAGTGTTGTTACTCTGCGTGATTACCTCGATAAGCCTTCCCGAAGCCCTGGTTTTTCATACTCGAGTCCCGAAGGAAGTTCTACACTCCCGAGATCCCCGAGAATCCCGAGATTTCAACTATCTCTAGTCGAAGTTCTGCTCGATTCTTCTCTCGACTACTTCAAAACAACCACTCCAATCAAGTGAGTTCGTACCCCTTTTATACATCTTCAAATACTTTATAATGTACTTTAATACATTTTGGGGGAGAATACAAGTAAACACCCGGTTAATCCCGAGTGAAAACATGAAAACTTTTGTTATACCTTGCATGCATTAGATTTATACAAAATGCTTAGTATCCAGGGTAGCCATCTTTATCAAACTATTTTTTTCATTCAAAGAACTTATGATTTTAATGCTTTGTCAAACATTGTGAAAGAGGATAAACATTGCATACAAAACTATCACTTTAAATACAGACTTAGTTGAGAATCCGTGAGACGATTACATATTCATTGCTACCTTTTTGTTAAAATGTACTACATGTAGTCCTGTCTATTATAACCAGAGTCTCCCGTTGGTAGAGCATGTCAAATGTGTATAAATCTATACGGGAAATCATGATCCCGCGCCCTGACTGTTATCTACAGTCCTTTGGGTGACAGTATGTCATAACGTTTCCATGCCAGAAGACCGTCGCCACAGGCATATTATGTTTAGTATGGTTATAAAAATCACCGGATAGACAATTATTATGGTATTCTGAATTTATGAAGGAGTAACTATTAAAACTATTCTTTATCTAACGAGTGTGATGTTCTTATAACTTTACTATATAAAACTATACCTCAACCTTTAAGCACGTCAGTTGCTTGCGATATTCGGCCTTGGACATTAGAGACTGCCTGTTACTTTAGGAAAATAAGGGATTTTCCTGTATCCAAAACAATCAACTAATAGAAAAATAAGAGATTTTCCTGGTGCAACTATTTACAATTCACAACATGAACATTCATATGCATTTCATACTTTTATAAGAAAATAAGAGATTTTCTTGGAAAACGCACGAACTTTGGAATGGCTTATATTTTTCTTAAAACCGCTTACGAACTCACCAACTTAATTGCTGACACTTTTTCTTTGAAATAACTTGTATTCTCAGGGAAACGCTAAGCAGGTTTGGAAACCAAATTTTGGGGATTAAATCTCTAACGTTAATTACTTCTTTTGAAAGATGTTTATGTATTTATATTTTGAACATGCAACAAATACAATTATGTAAACATTTTAAAACCTTTATATGTATGGTGGTGTGTATTTTCCTTACTATGAACTGTTATGATACTGAATATGACATCCTCCGCCCCCGAACGTTTCCGCCGTTCTGGTTTGGGGGTGTGACAAATTATGATATTAGTTGTGAAACCCGAGGACATCAGTTCGTTTTGTATTGAAAATATAAATCACATTTATCAAGAAATAGTTGGTATTCAACACAATTATCAAAAACAAAAAACTGGGTGCTAGACATGGTGCAGGGAACCATGCGTGCAACTCCAACCAAATTAATGAATACATTTCATATACATAGAACATCTGTTAAAACTATATAATTGAATTCAAATATATCCATTTCTGTTAATAAATAACTATATATTTGACAATAGGCCAACTACAAAATCATTCTAAATAAACGAAACTGTGTTTTTACCTGGTATTCAACACAATTATCAAAAACAAAAAACTGGGTGCTAGACATGGTGCAGGGAACCATGCGTGCAACTCCAACCAAATTAATGAATACATTTCATATACATAGAACATCTGTTAAAACTATATAATTGAATTCAAATATATCCATTTCTGTTAATAAATAACTATATATTTGACAATAGGCCAACTACAAAATCATTCTAAATAAACGAAACTGTGTTTTTACCTTTTTATTTTATTTCATGTATATGTATAACTTTTCTTTTTAATTATTAAAATATTGTCATGGTTTTATAATATAATCATACAGACATTTTTAATTCTATATAACCCCAATTATATTTGTTGCTAGTATCCATTCACACGGTTTTAATATTTTATATTATATATGTTTAAACCTTTGTGATAACTTAAAATTTTAAATACTTGATTTAATTATACATAAGCAAATTTTATCTTTTATGTGATTAACATTTAATTTATTTTTTTTTTGAAAGGCATACAAGAAGCAAGTTTTTTTTTTTCTTATGTGTGTACGAATACAAACGTAAAACCATGTTGTATTTTTTATAAAGTCTATTATTGCCAAAATCACTACTAGAATATAGGCCTTTAATGATACGCAAATCATGACACTCAGTGGTTTACGATACGCAATAGCGTGTGTTCTAAAAATAATGTCATCTCTTCTAAAATTTAAAGGATTTAGAACACGCATTTTTGCGTGCCCTTAAAATTAGTGTACGAACAAAAAAAATTAAAAACACAGAAGACACTCAGCATAATAGGCGTATCATCTAAGCATGTCGTTTTATAAAATTTTCATCAAACACACGTTCTCCATCTTTAACAGATGAGGGGGAAATCAAATCCCAAAAAATTAAAACCCCCGCCTTGTTTCTCATCTCCTACCAGCGGAAAGCCCCATTTCTTTTCCTTGACCTAATTTATCAAGCTCTGCAAATTCTATGGCCACTTTAAAATCTATAGTTGAATCGGATCCAACGATACCTTTGCCCAAAATTCTTTAGATATGGTGTGCCTTCATCTTTTATCTTCACATATGGCCCATCTTCACATAATCAACAAAGATACTAGGGCTTTGAACCGGACCTCACAAAAGCCTTGGTGTTCACAGCAGCTTCTCACGCTTACTATGCGTCTCTATTTCTTCCTCTCACACCGGCGATTTAGGGCCATCCCTATTTCATATCTTCTGGTTGCTAGAGCCTGGAAGTTATTAAAGAAACACAAAATCATCATATTCTTATCCTCTTCATGTTTTCTTCCGCCGACCACCCTAAGCCGGTCAAAAAACCCTTCCGTTGGAAACCCTAAGTCGTCGTCGTCTTAATTAGTTCCTCCATCGCCCACCAGGCGTGTTCTTCTCCAACATCAAGCAGCACCAACCACGCATTCTGTTACTCCATATACGAATTCTTTTTCCTCCAACCCTCTTGCCGACCACCCCTTCTCCTCCCCCTTGCTGGTACTCTTCTAGCCCTTTATTTTTTTTTCTTTCTGAAAGCAGATGTATGTTTGGTGAAAGAAACATTACCTTTATGCAGAAATTAGTTGTTGAATGTTTATATATAGATATGTGTATATCGTTTGCTCCCTTTCATGTTCTTTTCTACATTTGGCACAGATGTTGATAAGTTTTCTCAGGTCCAAGTACATGAAAATATTTTAAGCTAATTCTTTTGGCTTAATTCTATGCAAAACATCGTGCAAAACACCCCAGTTGGAAGAACAAGAGTTTCAGAATCTAAAGAGGTTATGGAAAGTATCAGTAACCTCTCAAGATCTTCGGATGATTGGCAATATATGGGGATCGACTGTCTTCTGTTACTTCTTCATGTCAGGTAAGACCTACGTATCTCACATTCTCTGACTTTTGTGTTATTACATGTGTGTAATTGGTCATTTGGAAATATAGTTCGTCTTTTCTAACAAAAATATCAAATGAATTCGCCAAAAGGAAGAGATTTTAAATTTTGATGGTTAAATGAACCAACATTGAACATAAACACTGAAATCATTTCTGAAACTTCTAAAGCATAGTAATCAAAACTAAATAACCAATTATAAGAATCAATACGAAATAAACTAAATAAAACTTGAGAAAACGCCATACACTATTACATACCTGACTACCTATGTTTGACATCGGAAGTCAAGGGTATATATGATTTTTATTTAGAATAAAATGTCTAAAACAGAACAATATATCATGCAGGCAATTTTGTATTCGAACTTTTTGCAGGGTTATATACCATTTTAGAAGACCCTGTTATCAGAAAAGATGGAGATACTAAAATAAAAATATACACACAGTTTAACCATAATGGTGGGCCACTTTGTATATGTTTCGACAACTTAGTCCCCACAAAGCTTTTCATCCAAAAATGGTAAAAAGCAAAATCTCACAATGCTATGCTCTAAGTGTAACGTGTAAGCTTTTTGACAGCAACAAAGCAACAGGGACAGAAAACTGAGGAGAGGAAAGGAAGAACTAGTAAAATACAGGCACAAGCATGTATAATTGGCTACATATAATCTATCAAATGTATGTTTTTTTGTGTTTTTATCATTTTTATTTTGTTTTTCGTGTTTCCATGAAGTTCTTGAATACCATGTATGTACAAATTCAATCTACCTTCTGAATCACCAGGTTTTCTATCTTTTTTCTCTTAACAGTCAAGTATAATTTTTATATTTACTGTTCTAATGCTTTGATTTTGATTTGGATGAAACCTATGTTGATAAAAAGTTATATGTATAGATTTTGGTAAAAGATTAACTTATCGCCCAATATCTGTTGAAACTGGAGTCATTGCTCAGGTAAAAACCTTTTCAAATTATTTTTTATTTAATAAAAACACTTAGTTTATCTTCTTAATGAGCTTAATTAATGACAGGCATATGGTTCAGCAAGAGTGAAGATGGGTAAAACTGAAGTCATACCTTTGACTTGTCGTCTCAACTTGTTGACCATATCAAACATCACTGCTGGAAACAAGGAGCAGATTCAGGTCATAATTTGAAATTTTCATCAAGATTTAAACATCAAACATTATTTTCTTGACTGATATATCTACTTTATGATTTTTACAGACATTCATTGAAGCAAATATCATTGGCCCTCTTATTCATCTGCTTCAAAATGAAGAATTTGACATCAAAAAGGAGGTTGCATCAGCTATCTCAAATGCTACTTCTGGTGGAAGCCATGACCAAATCAAGTGGGATTCATAAACTTAAATTTTCATTATAATTTGTTTAGTATTTACATCTCAAAAGCTATATATTTATTGATAATAAAATGGTGGATGCAGGTATTTGGTAAGTGAGGGATGTATTAAGCTTTTGTGTGATTTACTGATATGTCCAGACCCAAGAATATTGACAGTTTGTTTAGTGGGGCTCGAGAATATATTAAAAGTTGGTGAAGAAGAAAAGAATTTGGGAAGATCAGGGGATGTGAATCTTTATGCACAGATGATTGATGATGGAGAAGATTGAGAATTTACAGAGTCATGATAACAGTGAGATTTATGAGAAAGCAGTGAAGCTTCTTGAGACTTATTGGTTGGAGGAAGTGGATGATGCTATTCCACTTGGCGATGCAGTTGCAACTCAGCCTCCTGCTGGTTTCCATTTTGGAGGTGGTGATTTTCCGTTCCTTCTGGTGGATTCAACTTTAACTGAGGTAGGTAATAATAATATGTGTTATTTTGAATACCTTTGGAATGGAATGACTGATTCCGTCGGAATTGAAAAAACATCATGTTTGGTTTGAATTTCATTCCATGAGGGAGGGGTGTTTTTTTAATACATTGAAGGAAAGGAATGATAATGTTATACTTAAAAATTAGTTTTATTTCTATTATCTATTTTTCTTCAATAAGAAAAATCTTTTTATATTTTTTCTTAAGTTTCAATCAAATCAATCTTTTTCCTAATTAACGTCAAAACAATTATTTAATTATGTTATGTTAAGATTTTATGGTATATAGTTTTTTTTTTATAAACATTTAAGAGCTTTTTTATTTGCTATTTGAAATAACATATACAGTATATAATAAAATGGTTCATTCCATTGGAATGAAAAATAAGTTTTTTTTCTTGATGGAATGGAATTTGATCTTTTTTTATAGAAGGTAATGCTTTCCATTTTGTTAAGTTGGGGATGATTCTTTTATTCCATTAGTTTTTTAATATTTTTGAACTTTTTTTTTTTATCGATTTACAATATTATTTTCTGAAAATAACTAGATATTAATTCTATCTAGGTTGTAATCAGCTTTTGTTATGTTTGTACTTTGTTGATAGAAGTCTACATTAGGAAGACCAAGTTGTTCAACCCCCTGACAAAGGAAACGTTTCTGTATACATCGATTGCAGTCCCACAGCAGCACCACAATACAAGGTTCAAATGACCGTTTTACCCTCACAAAATCTTTCAAAAATGTTTTTGTATGGCAGGAGTTGGAATCAATCTTTCATCTTTGTCAATTGTGGATGGGATTTATATATTGATGGTCTTGCGATAAATATAGATGGGAATATACTCGATGGCGTCCTCTCACTCGTAAACTCAAAACATTTGTTGTTATTATAAGTCCATATCTATGTGTTTAAATGCAAGAAATAGCAACCAACTTTAATTTATTTATTTATTATTTTGAAAATTATTCTTAATGCAGGCTTCTAGTTTTGGTTCAAATGGACGTTCTTCGATTGTTTCTTCATGGAAAGTCTAATCTTCCAGGGTAGATGTCTTTGTTTCCACAACAGATCTAGATAAAGAACCACCTAATGCCCAATTTCATACAGGTAATGGCCAATGGGATGAGTATTTTTTTCAATGTGAAGTTAAATCCCTTTCCATATACTAAAATTACGATAATGTCGTTTTTTTAGGGCATGTACAAATTACGGCTGGAATATTGGAAAGAGTTAGATTTGTATCGTCAGCTCTACTTGGTCATGTCATTTGGTGAAGAAAACTTCTATTTTGGGGTCATCCACCCATCTTAGGTCTATGGGTGGTCAAACTTGTAGTCATTGCTTTGTTTGTTGCATTATCATTGGCCAACATTGTAAGTTTTTTTTATTCGAATATTCTTAGTCTGTTTTCAAATAATTTTTCAATTCACACCTCTCTAATATTTTTCAATTTTTCATCTTAATTACTTATAAGGTATTATGTACAAGGATTCAACCTGGTTGAGAACAACAAATAGTTCTGCTGCCTCGAGACTCATATCTTCAGGTATGATAAGCTTCTGATACAACTATTTATAAAAATTTGAGCTTATGTGGTAATATGTCAACAGTTAAAACATTTTAAAATATCATTTCTTTTGCAGGGTTATTTTAATAATGTCTCAGAGTATCTCAGAATTAGTCCACCTCTATATTTTGTTGTGAAAAAATATAATTACAGATATACTTTTCTTTTCTTCTTAATGCACACTTCTGGTGAAGTTCATTTCAACTTGTAATGTAGACTAAAAGTTTTATTTTTTCACATTAATTTTTTCTGTTTTCTCAGTTCGATCAGAATCAAGACCTACAAATCAGTTGTGCTCCATCAATCATTGTGATGCAAACTCCCTTTTGAATGAGGTATGAAAGTGTTGATTACTTGGGGAACCGTTTGGTTGGATTGAATGGAATTATGATGAAAGGGGTAACGGAATGAGTTGTTAATTCTATTCTGAATACTAATGTGTTAATTATGAAAACAGGTATCATGTGGAAACAGAAGCATAACAATGAGAAGTAGAAACAAGGTGTCCCTTAGCAATGTAGTATTAGGTTATATAGTTAGGGAAAACCTCTTAATAACAATGTACAATTAGATCCCCTTAATACTAATGTATTACAATTTTTTGATATGATGTTATTGGATGAAATTGATTGTTTTGATCTATATTTGTTTCCACATTTTTGTCTTATACGTAAATGACTATCGTAAAGACGCGTCGCAAATGTATATCGTAAATGGTTGTTGAAGTTTATGGCACGCAAATACGTGTCATCTTTATTTATGACAGGGGCTTTAATGATACACAATGCGTGTCGTCTTCCTTTTCGACACGCAAATGCATGTCGTCTTCCTTTATGACAGAGCCTTCCTTGATACGCATTGCGTATCGTAAATGCGCGTCGTAAATGAGCGTCGTAAATGCGTGTCGTCTATAGACGAACGCGCAAAAGCGCGTCGTCTCTCTTTATGACAGGGCCTTCCTTGACGCGCATTTGCGCGTCGTCTGAGCCTTTTACGACGCGCAATGAGCGTCGTAAAAGGCTGT